CCTTCCTTCCTTCCTTCCTTCCTTCCTTCCTTCCTTCCTTCCTTCCTCCCTCCCCCTTCCAAGCCATATCCATTCTTAGTGTCATTCCGAAAAGGAAGGATGGCACCCTTGGATCCAGGCAGGATTCTAGCGGGCCAAGAGCTCTGTCTGCCCCCTTCCCCTCCATTACTGTCTTTGCCTCCTGGCTCTGGCCTGGAGCAAAATACTCTGTAAAATAAAAACAAGATGCAGAATCATGCTAATAGTTCAGAGACTTGGGCTCCAAACAACGGAAGGGAAGAGAGACAAATCCAAGGTTGTTGGGGTTTTTTTTCTTCTTCCTTCAAGGAAAAGTTTTCAGGTTCACTGGAAAAGTCCTGGGCTTTGTGTGAAAAGAGCTCAAGATCCGAGCCAATTCTTGCAAGGCTGGGAACTTGATATAGTTGCACTATTTATCAGCAAGTGCAATTTTAGATAGCATCACTAGGAGAGGGGGGGAAACCCCACAATTCCATTTCATCTGAATTATCCAACTCTGCTTTGAGTCCTGTGTCCAGATCTGGAATCAGATTTAAGAAAGATTCCAGGGAAATGGAAAAGGTAGGGCAGGACAGGCGGCAGATCTGGGGTGGTGTGAAGGGGGCTCGGGGGAACTGGAAGAGGCAGCCTGGCAAAGACGAGACTTGGGAGCCTTTCCAAGGCTTCTCCTGTCTTGGCCAAGAGTGCAAGACACAAACTTTCCTTACCCTCCAGTACTGGCCTCAGTTGGGCTTATAAGTCGAGGACTATCTCAATTCTCAAGCTTCTGGGCTTCCCAAGATCATGAAACCCCTTTTATTTAGGTTCAAGGGAATTCCTCTCCAGCAAAGTCCCGGCCAACAGCCTTTCATGAGATTTCACAATTACAGACTTTTATCAGGCTTGGAGAGTTGCCAGGCCGATATCTTCCTAACGCCACACTGTAGCAACAATTACTTGGCAAGAAGTCAGGAACACATCTTCACCCTAACAAATTGAACTAATTGTCTCCTGCAAACCCCACTCCCCTTTCGCTCCTCCTTATTCCCTAGGGGAGGGGCCATTCAGTGTCCACCTGAGCCTTTACTCCCAAGTAGAACCTTGTTCCTTAGCTGTTCCCTTCTCCTGGCAGCTCTGTGCATGTGCACACATCAGGAACAGGCTCCAGCTGTTCTTCTGCCCCACTGATCTCCAATTCCGAAGGCAGCTGATAACTGTGGGATGGCCTTGGCTCCACCTCTGCCTCAGAGGCAGAGCCCTTGTCAGAGCCTTCCCCAGCCTCCAGGACTGGCCCAGGTTCCTCCTCAGCCTCCTCACTGTCCGAGTCTGCTGCCAGCTCCCCTGGCCATTGATGGGCCACAACAGCTTCCTGAACATTTGCTGAGACGTTGCGAGGCTGGTTTTGGCAGCTCACTATTTTACATTATATCTTACAGACACACACACACACACACACACGATTTCCAACCAGCCCCTGCTAGACTGCTGCAGGATTCACATATGTCATCTGTTGACACCTCCCTGACGATGATGAATGAGCACTAAGCAGGAGAGAACATCAGGGCTAACCCTGGGCTGCAGCCCCTAATTGAACAGAGTTCAGCTAGGAAGCACCAAAGGCAATTATACCGGTTCCTGCAGCCTTTGCCTTCTCCTGCCTTCCCACTCAGGTGGGGGGGGGCCCAGAGCTGCAAAGCCCCCGCCGAGGCTGCCCCCTCTAAGAATCACACGAGGCCGGGGATCGTGGCAGAACAAACACTCGGTCAGGGAAGGGGAGAGGCCCACAGGAAAGCCTTCTTCGGCCTCTCTCAGCATGATTTATTTAGCGGTGACTCACCCAGGACCAGAGGTCTGAAGGCATCAGAAACACAGCTTCCCCTCCGAGGTTTGCTGCGCACAGAGGCCCTTCTGTTGGGCATGCCTGGCACATCGCTGTCGGAGCGGCGCAAAGCCTGGGCAAAAGATCTGACTCCAAACCCCTTTAAAGCAGTTGTATCTTTTCCCGGGCTTCGTTGGCCACTTGAAATGTTCCCAACAGAAGTTACCGTGTTTCTCCAAAAATAAGTCCTTGCTTTATTATTCTTTTGCCACCAAGAAAAGGCACCAGGTCTTATTTTCAGGGGATGTCATCCACTGACTAACCTCACTTGCGCACATCGCCCCCGGCTTCCTTTTTGCTGTCAGAGGCCTACAGGAACTTCTTCTGCGGCCCGCAAGGTTTTCCTGAAGGCCTCTGCAGCCGATAACAGCTCCGGATCGATCCAGAGCTTTGTTATCGGCTCCAGAGGCCTTCAGGAAAGCCTTGCCGGCTGCAGAAGAAATGGGCTGGCAAGGCAGGTGTCAGAGTGTGCGAGGCCTGGCTAGAACTGTCCAAAGGCGAGTAGTAGGGCAGCTCCACCTCCCCACCCCCACCTCTGTAGTGGGCGGGATCTTAATTAGGGCTTATATTGGGCACACATATAAAAATCAAGCTAGGACTTACTTTCATATTTCATAGGTCATATTTTTGTGGAAACAGGATACCCAAAGATATTTCCAAAGGACCCTTTGCCCCTGAGAGTCTGGTCTTTGCATAATGCTCCATAGGGAATGCAGCCTTTTGTCCAGTCTCTTCTTCCCAACCTCCAGAGTTGGAGGACCCACAACTTCTGGAGGTGAACCATTCCACTGGTGAATTGTTCTCAGTGTCAGGAAATTTCTCCTCAGTTCTCGGTTGGATCTTTCCTTGCCAACTAGGACAACAAAATATGGAGTATCTGGTATGATTGGTCGGAGAAAAGGTAACATCTGATAATGGGACAAGATATTGAAAATGGGGAGACGTGCAACTAATTACAAAGCTTATAGAGAATTAAAAACATTAAAAGGATGAAGTTATTGTAACAAGGTAGAATACATCAATGATCGAAAAATACAAATGTAACCATTGCTCAATGTGTGCTGTAGAATGTATGTGTGTGTGTGTGTGTGTGTGTGTGTGTGTTTATTTGTTTGTTTTTAATTGCATAAATGTTAAATAATTTTTTTAAATTAAATTAAATTAATAAATAAACAAGACAACCATATATCTATGGAGATTCTCCGTCCTCCAGGTCATTGTTGTCCCAAAGGTGCTTTTTTTTCAGGAGGCAACTGGATTTTCTGGATTTCCTTTGAAGACATTTTGCTTCTCATCCAGGAAACTTCTGTAGCTCTGACTGGATGGTGGGGAATGGAAGGATTTATACTCCTTGCAGACAGCTGGACATTTGCATGCTTTTGGAGGGTTGTTGAGGCCACTTGGAGGCTTATCAGTGTCCTCAGGGTCACCTGAGTGGTGCAAATGGTTCCTGTAGTCTGCAATTATTTCCCCCTCTGGAAATCCATTCCTCCTCCCACATCATTCGAAGGGGGTTCATCCCAAATTGTATGGCTAAAAGTCTGTAGAGATTCCCTATAATCTAGGTTGCCCCAAAGGTGCCTTTTCAGGAGGCAACTGGACTTTCTTGTATTTAATTTGAGGATGTTTCACTTCTCATCCAAGAAGCTTCTTCAACTCTGACTGGAGGGTGAGGAATAGAAGGATTTATACTCCTTGCAGACAGCTGGTCATTTGCATCCTTTCCATCGTTAAAGTCACCTGGAGGTTTATCTGTGTCCTCACCAGGTGACCTGAGTGGTGCAAAGCCTTCTTGGAACTGTTGAAAGGATTGTATTGGAGACTGGAAATAGATGATGTCCTGTCTCTCCCGCTGTCAGGATTCTGGCACTTAACCCCAATTAAATCATGAGTCTCTAAGCAAACTTCCAAAACTTAAAAAGGATTTATTGGGAGTTAGCATGTCTGGCCCTGCCTGGGTGCAGCCAACTCTGAGGTACATCATTCACTGTCACCCTTGACCCTGGTTTTCCTCCACCCCCTGGGTGTATCGTAATTCATATCCTCCAATGGGACACGTCCATAGCCCAGAGTCATCAATCGCGTTCTCCAGTTAGAATTTTGCATGGCAGAAACTTCAGTCACCTAGTTACTATCTTTGAAAACATTTATGGAATGCACTTGTAATTTCCAAGCTGTCACACTGCTCTTTCAAACCCCTTTCCCCCCTCCTTTTTCTGCTGGCAACTCTCAAAAGACCATACAAATATTTTGAGTTGACTTCCCTCTGTTGAGAGAAGGCTGTTCCGTTTTGTTGCCTCTTTGACCCTTCCTTCAAACCAGCAGTCCTCTCTGTCCAATGTCTTCAAAGAAAACCAGAAGGTCCAGTTGCCTCTTGAAAAAGCAGCTTTGAGATAAGACAACTATCGTGTCATCCCAGCTCTATACCGATTGATTGATTGATTGATTGATTGATTGATTGATTGATTGGACCTCCCTTCTCCTCCCTCTTTGCACCTTGTAGTGGCTCATCATGACTTGGAGAACACCCTGAACTGCAGCTTCATTGAACCTCCTTCTGTGGTCGATCAGCCATCACCCTCTTGGTCATCCAGGGGCTCCTTCTCTTCCTTCGACACCACGGACGAAGGACCCGTCTACTGCGTGCCCCACGAAGGTCAGTGATACTCCTGGCACAGGCCAGACTCCGATCACGCAAGGCGTTCCTTGAGAGAGCTCAGATCTGGCCACCGAAAGGGAGAGTCGGTGGCTCTCAAGAGCTGAGATTAGTCCAAAAAGGGTATCGTTTCCTTGCCTGGTTACTAGGAAAAGTTGGGATAACAAAAATGTCTGTTAGAGTGTACACACACACATACACACACACGTTGCTGGGAACAAAATGCCAAGGTTGGGCCACTGCTGTCTAATAATGAATGCCCCAAATGCAGTCAAAATACCCTCCTCCTTCTTCTTC